GGAAGATGGGAAGGAGGGGGAAGGAGGGAGGACAGGAGTTAGGAAGGGAGAGAGATAAGGAAGGGAGGGAGGGAGGAAGGACCTGGCCAGCATTTTCCTCCTTCTGCACAAGGAAACAGGAAAGATGACCAGAAGCGAGGTGGGTGGGCTCAGTTGCAGTGGACCTGGGGAGGGACAGAGAGTCGTGGAGAAAATCTTATCTCTGGGGTTGCTAAGTGTCAAACATACATGAAATATACAATTACAGGTAGTCCTCGACTTAGGACCACAATTGAGCCCAGAGTCTGGTCAGAGCTGAAGAAGCTCCTTGGATGAGAAGCTAAACATCTTCAACGAAAGTCCAGTTGCCTTTTGAAAAAAAAAAAAAAAAAGCATTTTGGGGACAACCATGACCTGGAAGACTGAGAATTTCCACAGACACAACTGAGCCCACAATTTCCATTGCTAAGCCGGACCATTGTTAAGTGAATTTTGTCCCGTTTTAAGACTTCTCTTGACACCGTTGTTATACGAATCGCTGCCACTGTTAAGTACAGGTCGACCTCGACTTACAAAATTTCACTTAGCAACCGTTCAAAGTTACAACGGCACTGAAAGAAGTGACTTAGGACCGTTTTTTCACACTTAACGACCATCACAGCCTTCCCCGCCCCGCGTCACGGGATCAAAATCCAGACGCTGGGCAACGGGTTCATATTTAGGACGGTCGCAGTGTCCCCGGGGTCACGGACAAGCAAAGTCAATGGAGGAAGCCACAATTCGCTTAACGGCCGTGTGACTGACTTAACAATCGCAACGATTCACCTAACGACGGTGGCAAGAAAAGTCGTAAAATGGGGAGCAAATCTCACTTAAACAAATGTTTCACTTAGCAGCGTAACTTTTGGACTCCACTGTGGTCGTAAGACGAGGACTACCCATAACACAATTACGGTAACTCAAGGATTTTTGATCCGATCCTACCGGAAAATTCTTTTTTGTCCCGTGGGAAGCCTCCTATTGGGGAGAAGATTCTTGTTTTTTTACTGTCCCCAGGGCTGAATTTTATTTTCTGTTTGTCTCTTTCACTTCGATTTGTGTGTATCTCTCTCTCTATATATATATCTATCTATCTATATCTCTATATCTATCTAAATACCTATATCTCTACATATCTCTATATATCTATATCTATCTACCTCTATATCTATCTATACCTATAGATCTATATCCATAGAGCTCTATCTCTATCTATCTATCTATATCTAAATACCTATATCTCTACATATCTCCATATACCTATATCTATCTACCTCTATATCTATACCTCTATATCTATATCCATAGAGCGCTCTCTCTCTCTCTCTCTTTCTCTCTCTCTCTCTCTTTCTCTCTCTCTCTCTCTCTCTCCCTCTCTCTCTCTCTCTCTCAATGTCAGTCCTCATGATCCAACCGGCCTCTTTGCTTACAGAGCATCTGCGTGTTTTGCACATTCTTCACTCCAAGCTCTTAAATAAGTGGCAATCTTTTTACCATTTTGCGAGAAAATAAACGTGATTGTGAATGGCCTGCTCCGGTAAAGCAGAACAGCCTTCTTTAAAAACACCGCTGTCTCCTCTATATATTACTATCCTCCGTTCTGGTTAAAGAGCCCTTGTCACTGAAGGAGCTGCGGGGGGAAATTTAATATACAGTGTTTATAACCATCAGAAATCACTGGTACAGCCGCAAGTCAATTTACACAGTGCCTCCTTGAGGGCATTTATAAATCTAATGGGCTTATAAATCCTCGTTTAAGTTTTTGTATTTCATTTCCCCAGGAATGCAGCGTGGTCCCAAATGTGTATTTTACTCTGGCTGCCTTTGCCTCCCAAACGCAAAGACTTTGAAAGACGCCGGCCCGGCGACGATGAGAAATTCGAATTGGGAAGCAGGTAGCATGTGAGGTTTGGAGCCAGGCTCTTTGGAGGCTCACCGTGGGATGGGGTGAGGGTAGATACAAGTAGTCCTTGAATTACAGCCACAAAGGAGCCCCACATTTCTGTGGCTAAGTGAAAAAATCTGCTAAGCGAGTTGTGCCCTGTTTTAGGCCTTTTCTTGCCACCTCTGTTAAGTGAGTCACTGCCCTTCATCGCTGGAGGCTTTTAAGAAGAGTCTGAGAAGTCACATGTCCAAAATGGTATGGTGATGGTGAACCTATGGTGAACCAGTCGTTTGTGCTGGCACGTGAGCCACAGGCAAACTTACCTCACTGCGCGTGTGTGAGCCTCACAGTCGATTTTTTGGCTGGTTTGAGGCCTTTTCCGGCCTCCCCAGAGGCTTGAAAAAAGGCTCTGCAGGCCAAATAATAGGCCCATTTCATCACTTCCTGTAATACCAGAAGTGACAAAACGGGCCTATTATTTTGGCCTGCAGAGGCTTTTTTCAAGCCTCTGGGGAGGCCGTAAAAGGCCTCAAACCAGCCGAAAGTCAGCTGTGAGGTGCAGTGCTGGTAAGGGGGCAGAAGAGGGTGGAGGGGAATTGCATGCGCATGTGCAGGGGGCCGCACGTTGCCTTCTGGGTGCTGGCAGCAAGCGCGCGAGTCCCAGCATGCACACAATTTTTGGCACAGGAGCCCAAAAAGGTTAGCCACCTCTGGTATAGGAGCTCCTGCTTGAGCAGGGGGCTGGACTAGAAGACCTCCAAGGTCCCTTTCAGCTCTATCCTGATTCTGAAACTTGTTATATGAATAAGGCGGTTATTAAAGTGAATCTGGCTTGTCGGAAGGTCGCAAAAGGGGATCACATGACCCCAGGGACACAGCAACCATCGTAAATATGAGTTGGTTGTCTATCCAGCATCCGAATTCCGATCACCCGACCAGGGGGAATGCTGCAACGGTCGTTAAGTGTGAAAAACGGTTGTAAGCCACTGTTTCCATTGTCGTCGTAACTTTGAACAGTTGCTAAATGAATCATCGTTAAGTCGAGGACTACTCATTGGAGGAGTCCTTAACTTACCAGTTTTCGTTTACCGACCTTTTGAAGTTACAGCATCCCTGAAAGAAGCGACTTATGACCACTCCTCACATTTATGACTGCCACAACAGTCCCCAGGGTCACGGGATCAAAATCTGGGCGCTCTGCAACCAGCATGCCTTCACGACGGGTAAATATGTTCTGTGGTCACGTGATTGCGGGAAGCTGGATTCGTTTAACGACCGTGTCAACTCAAAAATATTTCTCTGAGTCGCCAGCAGAAAGGGAGTGGGGGGGGAGTAGTGCATTCCTTAAATGCTTTCATAGATAATTGCTAGGCGGCCAAAGCTTCTGGCGCGCAAGATTATTACTGGAGAGCAATGTGTCGTGCCCCTGTTGGAATCTGATTCTGAGGGAGAGATCGAACAGCTGACAGGGAATGGGAGTGTGGCTCCGGTGGTTGTGGAGTAAACTGGGGAAGGGCACTGTCCGGCTGGTCATTCAGAGGAAGACCCAGGCCCATCCCCTCTTCATCCTAAGCATGCAGAGAGGAACGGAGAAGGGAGCAATGTGGGTTACAGGGCAGAAAAAGGCCCTGATTCCCTTCATTAGCTGCAGCTGGGAAAAACAGGATAAAAAAGGTGTTTGCGCACAGCACCTTGTTGGAGGCAAAGCATGCATTATCTTTGTTTGTCAAGTCCTATCTGAGTTCTGGCATCCTCCCAAATATGTGTGTTCTGTTATCTTTTCAAGTCTGCAATTCCTTATCCTGCCCTGTCTCGTTAATTGCTGCAGCGTGGTTTGTGTTGGTTTTTATTTATAATTTAGATGTACTTTGGGTTCGGACTAAATTTCTTCCCTTTGAAAACTGTTCTTGGGAGAGTTTTGTCTCCAGCCGATGATAACTGGACATTGGAGGCCAAGTTGGAGGAATTAAAGGGACTTTACCTGCTTTTGTGACTTTGTTGCTTTTGTGCCACACCCTGGGTCATCACAGCATGATTGATGACTCATGGCTCTGGATGTGTCCCATTGGAGAATATACATCCAGGGGGCAGGGGAAGACCAGGGTCAAGGGTGAATTGAATGATGTGTCTCAGAGTCAGCTACACCCAAGTAGCAGAATAAATCTTTTTTTAAACTCTGAGAGACGCGGCAGAAGACTCATGATTTAAATGGGGGTAACTGCCAGAGCCCTGACAGTCTACATGTTTACTTCTCTTTTGTCATGTTCTCATCGTACGCTAAATAAATAATATTTCTTAATCAAGCTTCTTAGGAAACAAAAGCAGGTCTGGTGGACGCCAATCTATGTTCTTCTAAGCTTCTTGATTTTCGTTTACAGAGCAAAGATGACCCTACTTCGTGTCTGGGTGAAAACAACCTAGCAAACAGCATCTTTGAATTTTTTTCACAGCAGGCACAGAGAGACCATAGCTACCACTTTGCATTGGGCACTGCTTTACATGGTAGCCTATCCTGACATTCAAGATGAGAAGAAAGAAGAAAGTAGCAGAGACCCTGGGAAAATCCCCCCAAAAGTCTGCAGGAAAATTCCCCGCCCCGTTTTCCTACCGATCGATAGTTCTTTATTTGGGATCGCAGGACGCCGTCTCCAGCTCCGTTCTCAGGGGGAGAGGGAGGCTTTTGGAGGATTCGAATTACGATACTCCCAGTGGGCAGGTGGGTGGGGGAAAAACCAGGGCCAAGGGTGACCATGAATGATGTGCCTCAGAGTCGGCTGCACCCAGGCAGTGCCGGACACGTTAACACCCAATAAATCCTTTTGAAGTTTTGGAAGTTTGGCTCGAGACTCAAGATTTAATTGGGGGGTAACTGCCGGAATCCTGACAAGTTAGCCGGCTCTGAGGCACATCATTTATTGTCACCCTGGTTTTCTGACGCCGTGATTCACTTAACGACTGTGGCAAAAAAAAGGATGTAAAATGGGGCAATTTAATATACCCGTCTTGCTTAGCCACACAAATTTTGGGTTCCGTTGTGGTCGCAAGTCAAAGGCTACCCGCTATAAACGCCGACTTCCTGACTGGCATCAAGGCCGTCCCTGATTCCTGCCTGTCAGTCAGAAAGAATTTTTTTAAAAAGCTGTCCTAGGATTTGTGGAGCAAAGCAACTATTCTGAGGGGAGCAGTAACAATTCTGGGGAGGGTGGAGGGGGTTGTTTTTGTTTTGCTTCTTCAGGATGGAGAGCTTGCAAATTGCTGAGCTGAGGGGTTCACAGCCCTGGTCCCCTCCCGACAGAACATGCACACGCGATGTCTTCGGGTTCAAGCAGCCCTTCGGCCCGTAAGGACAGGGAACCAAGCGCATGCCTGCAACCGCCCAGCCCTCCGCTCCCCGTAGCACGTACTTGATGCTGTCCGTGTGCGTTTTGTACTCCATGATGGTGTTGGGGGGAAGGTTGAGCACCCGCCGTAAGGTGTCCCGGATCCGGGCCGTGGTGGCCTGATCGCTGGCCGTCTTGTTCCATATGGAGATGATGTCCTCCTGCGGGGAGAACCGGTCAGGAAGATGATTAAAGAAGACAACGATGACCTGGATGACTAAGCATCTCTGCAGACTTTTAGCTATACAATTTGGGATGGACACCTTTTGAACGGTGTGGGAGTAGGAATGGATTTCCAGAGTAAAAAAACGGCAGACTACAGGAACCATTTGCACCACTCAGTTGACCCTGAGGACACAGATAAACTTCCAAGTGGCCTTAACGACCCTCTAAAAGGATGCAAATGACCAGTTCTCTGCAAGGAGTATAAATCCTTCCATTCCCACCATCCAGTCAGAGCGGAAGAAGCTTCTTGGATGAGAAGTGAAATGTCTTCAAAGAAAAACTAAAAGTCCAGTTGTCTCTTAAAAAAAAAAAGCACCATTGGGACTCCAAGCGGCCTCAACGACTCCCTAAAAGGATGCAAATGACCAGCTGTCTGCAAGGAATATAAATCCTTCCATTCCCCACCATCCTGTCAGAGCTGAAGAAGCTTCTCGGATGAGAAGCGAAACGTCTTCAAAAGCAAAAAAAAAAAGAAAGTCCGGTTGCCTCCTGAAAAAGCACTTTTGGGACAGGACAGCACTGTGCTGAGATTGGCAACCCTTTCCCAGTAACTCCCTGGCCTCTCACCTGGAAACGGACGGAGACGACGGCCCCGCAGATTTCTTCCCCCACCATAAATTGTTCTCCCAGCATCGCCAGAATGAGGTTCTCCCAGCACCGAGACGCGAGGCCCTTTCGCAGGCGGATAATCCACTTGCCCCCATTCTTGTTGGCATCGTCCTGGGAAGAGGGCGAGGAAGAGAATTAGGGGTCAAGCTAGCACAGGTTTGAGGGTTAAGGCTGCAGAGAGCACGGATGCTGCACTGATGGGGAGATCTGTGACAGAACTGTACAGTTGTAATTGCAGGAATGTTCCAATCTCGGGATGGCAAACCTCAGACAAAGAATGTTTCCAAGCAAATACAACTCAGGTAAACAAAGTCACGAATCTAAAGGAGGATTAGAGAGAGGAAGTCAACATATGTTAGGCTTTAACTCGGGGTGGGCAAACTTTTTGGCTTGGGGGCCTCATTGACTTTTAAAATTTTACAGCTGGTGTCGAAATGCCTGTCATTACAAGTCAAAATCAAATGAATGCAATCATTCAATCATTCACATCAAACCTTAATTCTGTACCAATCTTCGGCGGGCTGGATTAAAAAGACCAACGGGCCGGATGTGGCCCCTGGGCCGTAGTTTGCCCACCCCTGCTTTAACTAAAGATAATTAATTGTATGGATTACTGTGCTAAACAATAACAAAAGTTAAGCAGTAACCAAAGTTAACCAGTGATGGAGGATAATTAAAAATGTGTATAAATGCAAGACTAGACTCCAATAAAGATCATCATGATTCAGTTGTTCATGATCAAACACCTCGACTGCCTTGTCATTACAACACAAAACAAGGCAATTCTTCTGACGGAGGGCAGGACAAGAAACAATGGATGGAAACTAATCCAGGAGAGGGGCAACCTGGAATTAAGGAGAAACTTCCTAACAGTGAGGATAACTAACCAGTGGAACAGCTGGCCACCAGAAATTGTGGCTGTTCCATCATTGGAGGTTTTTAAGAAGAGACTGGACATCCTCTAGTCTGGAACGGTATAGGGCAGTGGTGGCTAACCTTTTGGGACTCCTGTGCCAAAAATTATGCACGTGCTTGCACGACCACATTTGTGCCAGCACCTAGAAGGCAATGTGCACGCAATCCTCATCCACCCATCCCCCACCACTCCCTTACCTGTAATGCGCCTCACAGTTGATTTTCAGCCGGTTTGAGACCTTTTTCGGTCTTCCAGAGGCTTGAGGAAGGCTTCTGCAGGCTTTGCAGGCTGAAAACTAGGCCCATTGTCACTTCCGGTATTTCCAGAAAAACAGGAAGTGATGAAATGGGCCTGCAGAATGAAAGCCTGCAGAAGCCTTCCTCAAGCCTCTGGAAGGCCAAAAAGGCCTCCAACCAGCCAAAAATCAGCTGTGAAGCCCGTGCATGCGTATTGAGGTAAGTCTGTCTGCAGCTCACGTGGTGGCACAAATGGCTCTGCATGCCACCTGTGGCACACGTGCCATAGGTTCGCCATCACAGGTATAGGGTCACCTGCTTGAACAGGGGGCTGGACTAGAAGACCTCCAAGGCCCCTTCCAGCTCATTCACTCTATTCTATTCCTCAACAGAAGAAGAAATGTCTATTCCCTCGTTTGCAAACTTGACATGTGAAAGAGGGCGGCAGTTCCAATAAACAGTACCAGTTTATGGAGAGCCAGTTTGGTGCAGCCGTTTTAAGATGCTGGCTGAGAAACCCGGAGACCGTGACTCCTAGTGCCGTTTTAGGCACAAAAACCGGCTGGGTGACTGTGGGCCAATCCCTCAGAGAGGGTGAATTCTAGTCCTGCCTTAGGCACAAAACCCAAGCTGGATGATTTGGGGCTCATCACCAGGAGATGGTGACTTCTAGTTCTGCTTCA